CCCAATCCCCGGCCTGCAGCCTGCTAGCAGGCCATGACCCATTGGGAACCAGGCCACACAAGTGGTGGGCGAGCACGCAAAACCTTCCCCTTTACCTCCCCCTCCCCCACTGTGCCACTACTAGTCCACAGAACCAGAAAGGTTGCTGTGTTGAAGGACTTACAAATTACTTAATTGCTCAGAAGTACAAATGATTGCTAAATAATAAACATGCATACTTTTAAAAATATAAATAGCTGCTAGTGAAGTGTGGAAAGCAGGAAAGAAAAATTACCCGGTTTTAAATATATATTTATTGAAATGTTTCATATAATAATAATCAAAAGTGGGGAAAAAAACAAAAGGAAAAAGAAAAAGACCAAATTTAAGAAATGTAAAGATTATATCTGAGCTTCCTTTCAACAGATAATTACATTCTTATTGTCCCTTTTCCTTTTTAGGAATTTTCCAACTCTTTTCGTCTCTTTAGTCATCAATTCATTTTTTTTCTTCTTTCAGCAAAAAGTCCATATAACCTACCACTTTTTCAAAAAAGTTGGTGTTATTTGTTCTCTGAACAAACAGATCAGTTTGCCATTTTGGCAACATTTTCAAAATTCATTCCTGCACCGTGGGAATTTCATTATTTTTCCATTGTTATACATAAAATAATCTTTGTGCAGATACCATACTACGAATCTTTTCAAATTCATTGTCCATAAGTCTTATTTCAGAGGAATTTTAATCCTTAAAATCCTTTGTATCATTATATGAATTCATACCTAGAATTTCTTAGCTTTCTCACAAGTCCACCATGCATGATACAATGTTCCCTCATGCTTTTCATGTTTCCAGCACTGGTTTGAAATACTTTAATTTGTTTTTGATAATTTTCCTGGTATCATTTACCAATGATGCATTATTTTACAGAATTTTTCTCTTAAATTATGACACAGTTTGAATTCAATAAGAGTTATCTGCATTCGGCCTCAAGCATGTATCTTTATATTATATATCCAAATTTAGCAGTCCATTTTGTCACGTTATTTTTAACCTGTTCTTCTGTTTCAAATCTTAACATTTATACATTTTGCTGTTATGCTGTTATCATTTTTACTTACAGGTAGTCCTCGACTTACAACCACAATTCAGCCCAAAATTTTTGTTGCTAAGTAAAACATTTGTTAAGTGAATTTTGCCCCATTTTACGACCATTTGTGCCACAGTTGTTAAGTAAATCACTGCATTGTTAAGTTAGTAACATGGTTGTTGAGTGAATCTGGCTTCCCCATTGACTTTGCTTGTCAGAAGGGCACAAAGGATGATCACGTGACCCTGGGGCACTGCAACCGTCATAAATACATGCCAGTTGCCAAGGTTCTTGATCACATAACCGCGGGGTTGCCGCAGTGATCTTAAGTGTGAAAAACAGTCATAAGTCACTTTTTTCAGTGCCATTGTAAATTTGAACTGTCACTAAATGAACTGTTATAAATTGAGGACTACTTGTATTAACCATTTCTCTGTCTGCTGTTTTTCTTCTATAAAATGCTACTTGTGCTGAAGTCAGTAAAAGTATCTTCAGACACAACCTGGATTTATATTTCCATATTCTCAATATAGCATTCGCACGTGGTGATTTTTAAAAATTGATATTAACTTGTAACTTTGTTATATCATTAAACTCATGCCATTCCAAACCTCAGGGTATGATTTCCAGGTCAAACAGTCTTGTTATTTCTCAATTCTAGAACCCATTGCTTCATCCAAACCAAACAATAACTGCAAAGCACAGTTTAAGATTAGGTTGTCCTAACCTTTCTCTTTCTTTTGCATCTTGAGAGTTTTATATTTAACCCTTGGGTTCTTACCCTGCTGTACAAATCTGGATAAATCTTTTTGCCATTATTTAAAAGGTGCATCAATTTTCAAAACTGATATTGTTCAAGATAGAGACATTCTAGATTCCTCTGTATTACCAAAAAAAATCTATCAACGTTAGTTGCAAAATTTCCCAATTTAATAAATCTCATGCTACGAGCGTTCTGAAATAGCATAAAGATCACATTAGACATGGACATAGATATTTTACTTTTTTCTCAGTTTGAAAATCAGGCTTTTGCATCCGTTCATTTTGATCTTCCATTCTCATACTTTTGCTAACGTTTTAGTTCTCTATTTCTTCAAATGGAAGAGATAATATATCTCACAAACAGGACAAATAATAGTTAATGGTGAATTGAGTAAACCTTATGAAATACAAAAAGTAACAAGACAGGATTGCCCACTTTTACACCGTTCATTTTTGTTTTGAAAGTTCTTACTAGAAATGTTAAGACAAGATGAAAAAATTACTGGGTGAAAGTGAAAAAGGAGATATAACTTCAGAGCACTTGCAGAAATGTGATTTTAGTAGTTGAAAATTCCTTGGAGGGAATAGACATATTAATGGAAAAACTGAAAGAATTTGTTAGCTAGAATTAGCCACATTTAAAATGAAGAAAAATTATCCTCATCTACCATTGTTGTAATAAAATGGAAAAAATTAACAACTTCAAAGAAGCCACCACTTGCATTTCAAAGGTTATATTGAAATGAAGCTGTAGTAAATATGCATCTACCTAAGCTCCTGAGATTGGCTGTTACTCATGTCATTTGCTTAATTTCTCACTCCTGGGGGTTCAATAAACTATTCATTTTATTAGTAATGTAATACAAGCTCATTCACCCACACTATTAAAACTCTACTGAAACTCAGTTTGCAGTACTGCACTGTTGCTTGAATCCTCTAATTTTCCACTACATTGTGCCAAAAAAGTAAGAACAGGAATTTCCAGGTATTTCCTTTTGATTGTCCCTATTCACCTTCTTCCCTAGAAGCTAAGATTATCAGTGCACTTAAACATTTCATACAGTGGTAGACATCGTAATGGCAGAATTTTATTTTCTTCCTTGTACAAGTATTAATAAATTGTAAATGCTTCAGAGAAACCATAGTTCAATGGATCAATGGATAAGG